CGATCCCAATACGAAGTTCGCGAACATCAGGGATATCCATCGGGCTCAAATCGAAGCGGGTGAAAAGGAGGTTATCACGGCTGAATCCAGCGACTCTGAATGCCCTAGTGAGGCTGGCAGCTGTATTGTAGTGGGTGTGGTTGAGGATCAATAGTTAATAGTAATGAGGAGGTTGGGTTGTGATCCCATCGTTTTTGTGGTGCCAGAAACAGGGGGGTGCCAGGAAGTGGGTATGTTGACTTAGGGCACTCAGGAACAACGAGACCATCGCAGTCAAATCCTGTGACCAATGCCGCGAGAAGGGTGATGTTCTCGTTAATGGCGAAGTTGCGACCAGGGCACAGGTGTTTGCCGCCACCAAAAGGCCAAAAGGCCATCTTCTGCGTGATACCGCTTGACCCCGACATGCGTACTTGGTGCTCGAGCCATCGTTCAGGCGCAAACTCATTTGGGTCCCTGTCGCCCCACGCTTCTGGGATGCGGTGTCCAACACCGGCGGGAATATGACAAATGCCTCCAGCACGGAGCAGAGTTCCGTCAGGAAGTGTCGTGTCGTCTAGAACGTGCCGTGTTGCTGTGTTAGAGTCGAAGAGACGCAAGGTCTCACGATGTGCCGCAGTGATGTAGGGGCAGATGATTGGATCGGTCAACTGAGAGGTACGAAAAGTTGCGACTACTTTTATCGCAGCTCCACTGGGCCCACTGATGTCTTCCTTTCCGAAGGTCACCAGTGGCTCAACCTCTTCTCTGACTTTGGCGAGAATTTGCGGTCGAGACATGACGCTGATCAAAAACCAAAAGAACATTGGGGCACTATTGGTCGTTGCGGCTACCACCATGCCTACCTCAAGTCGGCCCAGGTCAGTGTCGCTAAGGCCAGAGTTGCGAATGATGCGTGCCCGAAGCTTTGTAAACTCTGCGACATCTGGCGGGAATGACGGTTCGTCGGGAAATTGCTTGTAATAGTTGACGAGAACATGTTGAAGTCGCTCTCGAGCAGAATTGCCAGCTGGTGCTATCCACTCAGGCTTAATGTTAGGGAAAAGATAGGTCAATGCATCATCAAATGTCCTATGATCTGTTAGAACTGAAACTTTACGGGGGCCTGAATCAACGCACCAGATATCATCGACCAGTCGAGGGTCGTGTCTAAATGGATTTGTTTTTATGCCGTAAAGCGAATCTGTTGCGGCCATGGCGATCCGATTTCTGAGAAAGTGATACAAGTGCTGGATCTCTTGCTGATGGTCAGGTCCGGCTGCTAGCGCATTGAGATCATCAGTAAACGCCGCAAGTGCCGTAACCGTCATACGTCGCATAGGTTCTGGTGAAGTTGCTGATGATACCGTCGTGGAGAAGGCATGGAGCAGTGTGCCGTCCACGAAAAGCTCTTTTGCCTTTGCGCTGAGTCTGACCAGGCCATCGCTCGCCTGGACGACGAAAGGGTCAAAGGAAAGAAGACGGTTGCGGAGAGCTGCCTGTGCCAGAGAGGGAGAGGCAATTAGATAGACCTTTTGGCCAAAGATGCTGAGAGTGGCTGTCGAAAGCTTTCCCTGAGAAGACTCGTACATCTCTAGATAGTACTTGCCGCCCTTGTAGAGCATGTTGACGAGGTGTCCCACAACAGGTATCGTCGGCTTCAGGAGTGGTGGCTCCCTCGGATCCAAGCTAGGCGTGGAGATTCTGCTGATCGCCAGGGCGATAAGCGGAAAGAGCGCGAGAACAACATATCTGAAGATCCGAACAAGAGCAGAACCATACAACTGTGTTGACTGTCCCTGGTCTGTGGTAGAGGTGTTGACAAGTGACTCAGGCATCATCAAAGCCGCCAGTGGTTAGATATCCAAACGATCTAGGAAGGCAACCAACGATAATTGATAGGAATGTCTATCAGGCAGAAATAACTTATAACAGGTACACCTTTGAGCGAGGAATAAGCAGGTTAGATAGACACTTAGTACATTTTCTCTGAAATCGGGTAACAATGTTCTGGCCAAGCCAAAGACGAATTGTTGGTTTCACCGTTACAAAAGCACTGTATTATCCATCATGCGATTTGCAAACGTCGTATTCATCTGCCAAGCAGAAGATTCGCTCTCGCATTCGGCGAGGTGACCTTAGTCATGTTACGTCGGGGCTGAGATTTCGTGATACGCGACTCTGACTTGAACTACCGCCCGCGTTCTAGCCATTGCCTCACTTCAGGTCAGATTGAGTTTCCGAAGGCTTGGCTATAAGATCCGCACCTATGACTACCTATTGCCGCTTCTCCTAATATATCTTGTTTCCGACATGGATCAGCGCAGGGCGACTCTGACTCAAGTTGACTAGCATCTTGGTGTGACTGGGGTGCCCAGTCAAATAGTCCACATATCTAGTTTCCAGACGTCCGTTTTAACATCTCGTTGAGATGTGGGCTTCAATCTGGCCACGCGGGTGAGAAACACAAGATTTTTGGGACTCCTTGATTGGCGGCTGTTTCTCAGATACGAAATACGAGGCTTAATATTGTCTGTGCATATGGGGGGAATGGTCCAATGTGTCATGCAGCTCGACAACTATGAACGCTGTCTCAATCGCATTGAGATCCTTGCCTTTGGATTGGCAACAAGCACTAAACCAAACTCAAGAGGCTTTTCGTTGGCTGAGACCGGTGCTAGCTTCCAGTCGTATCTCAGCAAAATGTTTGAGAGCGCCATCTTGGATTCGTGTGCGGCGAAAAAGCGGCCAGCACACGCGTGCTTCCCGTAGCCAAACGCAAGATGATTCGGGCTTGTGCTCACAAGATGCGCCTGATTTGCGACCTTACTATCACCGCTCTCTCGCATGCGGACAAAACGATAACCATCGAATCTCTCAGGGTTTTCATGCACGTTCGGATCCCATAGCTTGTCTGCAGAAACACCAATGACGCTCCCCTTGGGTATTGTGTCGCCATTAGATAGAGTTGTGTCTTCCAAGACAAGCCTATGCATGAACGCTATCAATTGCGCGTTAGCTTTAAGTGCGTCGTCTAAGAAATCGTGACTATTTTAACTCACTCATGGCAAGGGGCTTCCGGCGCTGGCTCTCCTTCAGCACGCTGTCAAGGAGCTTCATCTCGTGAAACGCCGCCTTGCTCCATCCCAATCTATTAGCGGCGTCATTGATCTCATCTCGTAAAGGTTCGACGACTTCCGGAGTGGCTGCAATCTCAAGAATGGCTTGGGTGAGCAAGTCTGTTGTGGTGTGGATTGCGGCTTGTGACAAAATGAGTTGCGCAACAACAGGATCGTAATCGCTTGTCGTGTCTTTGGTATCTTGTTCAAGCCACTCAATCACGTCGTTGAAAACTGGAATAGGCTTGCCAGACTTGATAGCGGCTTCTTTTACCAGGCGACGCCGCTCAATGGCAGCTATGATAATACTCCTCGCCTTGAAAACATGTCGGCGGAGCTTGATACAACATGGCAGTATCCAGTGAACCAACGGGCGAAGCTTGGCCGGCCATAAACGAAGGATTTTGGCCGCAATGTAAGCATCGGTTGTGTATTCAGTGGTGACTTTTATCCAATCGTCATTCCTCGTGATCTCTTCTCCTAGGAAGACGCGAGAGGAAAGACGTGCTACAAGCTTCAGGACATGGTCACGAAGATTGATCTCTGTCCAGTCTACTACAGATGTTAGACCACGGCTATTGGCAGTATAATTTCTTCATTCAGGCATACCTTTTGCATCTGGGAAGTGATCTTTCAATGCAACCGTGCATTCCTCTGCTAGAGCTCCTGTAACTTTATCTGCCATGGCCAACGTTAGTCAAAATACAATGCTCTCTTCAGCAAATGAGCATGTTCATACCTAAAGAGTGTGTGAGATGCTTTCTGGCAATATCGCGACTTAGTGCCGCATCGGTTGTGCCTTCCCGGAAACCCTCGAAGCCGGGGAACCGAGCATGAAAATTCTACAAATCCGAGTCTCGTATTAGTTTAAGACCTATGAGTGTGAAATACGCTGTCATACATACCTCAGTAATTACTTGTGGATAACTTAGCCGCGAGTCTGTCCGGATTTCATTCGCAAACTCTGAGGGAACCACTGTGATGACGCCTATATCGGTCAGGATGCGGAACGCTCGATTCAGTTTCAAGCCTTTGGACACGAGGTTTCTGGCATTGAAGAGAAATGATAACTGAACCAACAACCGAGGCTCCCAGAATCTGGGAGCGTTTACCATCGGAATAGTGTCTTTTCTTCTGAAGGCTCCGTGAAACGTCAGCAACAAGATCAAGCCAGCCACTATACTCGAGAAAGAGTACACATAGCTAGCTCGGAAATAGCCCAGCGCTTGGTTGCAAAGCGCGTCAGTTGAAAAGAACAGCAGCGCAGTGGCCGAACTGCTGTCATTGACCAACATGATCATTATGATAGACACAATGATGAAATGATGAAATGATGCTTGCGTGAAGCGAAGAGGGGGGGAAAAAAGAAAGGTTAGTTGCAGACGTGCGCACAACGTGATAGAAAGGACATCTTGAAAATAGGAAAGAAGCTTGTGCGTTGTAACTGGGTAGAGAAGACGCAGGCGCCCGAGAACGATTCGGAAGCCTGTTTACCCTAGTCTTGCGATATCGAGCAAGTCGAGTGAGAGCGCATAGCTGCAAGACCACGGATTTCAGAATGGCCCTGTTCGCCGAGGGCGGAAACATCCGAGAGCGAGAGCGACTTAATCGGCTTAGCTACGAAGAGTCAGTCTAGGTGAGCAGCTACCACATGGTCAGTCCCCCTTCTGACCCGCTACCCACGGCTTCCACGGAGTTTCAGCCCATGGTATCAATTCAAGTCACTCTCGTCATACTGCGATCTGTATTAAGATCTCAACTTTCAGACAGGGACCAGGACCCAAAAGCTCGTACGACAGGTTTTAACAAATGGATTGCTCACCGCTAGCGCTCACCTGACATGGAGTCAACTTGACGCCTGGAGGCGGATCACTAAAGCATGGAGATTATGACCAGGGTTGGCAGCGGAAATGCTCATTCTTCTAAGTTTTCTATATGCTTTGCGGAAGGAAAGAAAAAACATCAAAATCCGATGTTTTAGACTACGCTTTCAATGTCTCAGTGGAAAAGCACCATTTCCGATGCTTGGTCTCCGGCCGTGTTCGGATTTCCACCAATACATCCGAATTAGGCTTTTTCACCGACAGCATATTCGTATCGTCCTCTTTGGGTAGACCATCTGCGCCATCAGGGAAAGTTACGTCAAACGTAGAGAGAAACATCGCCGTGAATGTAATCATCTCGTCCACTGCAAGGTGCCTTCCGGGGCACAAAGTGCTGCCTCCTCCAAATGTCCGGTTTGCTGCTGGGTGTACCTTGCTCGGCCTCAAGAACCTTCCCGGCTCGAATGCGCCGGCATCAGCACCCCAAACATCTGGATTCGAGTGAATCGCCGTTGCTGCCATTTGGACTATGGCTCCTTTCTTCAGGACATATTCGTCGCCTATTTCAACATCCTGGTGAACCAGAAAGGTGCCAGTCGAAGAACTGATGCATCGCAGAGTCTCATGGCAAATGGACATGAGAAGCGGGCAGCGTTTACGAATAGCGGCGACATCAAGTGTGGAGAATTCCTCATCATGTGCGCATGGCTGAATGATCAGAGAAAGCTCCAGGCGAACCTTTTTCAGCAGTTCTTTATCTCTGGCAATACGCAAGATGATCCAAAAGACAGCAGGAACTGTGTTGATCAGGAATCCGGTCATGAGGCCAAGACCATAGCGAGCAATGAACTCAGTCCCTCTACTGTGGTCCAGTGCAAGCCTGCGTGTACGCCGAATCAGTTCAGAGGCAGTATCTTCGGGAAATGAGTCGCCAAAGTATTCCAATAAAGCATCGACGATTTTTTGACGTGCCGCTGCTGGTTTCGTAGCCGTGATGGTGGGAAAAACACCCATCGTCAAAGCCTTGAGGCCATTCTCAAAGTCCCTGTGACAAAGTCAATAAACGTTCTGGTAAGAGAAAGCTATGGGACTATACCAAAATGCCTGCAGCAACTCTTTGTTGTTAGCAAAAGGACCGTCTGGTCCGTGAAGGGCCTTTGCAGTCGACATTGCGAAGATCTCTTGGAGCCAACTCTGGAGAGCAATGGTTCTTGGACCTTCGCTGATGCTGTTGACATGGTTTGCTAGGCCGTTGAAAATCTCGTCGTAAACCTCCTTCAGAGAGAGAGAACCCGGAGAGAGAAGTGAATGCTCCATCACGTGAGCTTCCTGTCTTAGCGAACCTTTTTGCAACGGGTTTCTCAGCAACTCCGAGATGTCGGTCTGAGAAAAAGCAAATAGTTTCCCATAGACGATGGTGACGAAGGGAACATTGCCATCAACCTCTTTAGAGCGACGAGATATCAAGGCAATAAGTTCTGGCGAGTTGACGATGTACGTCTTCTGAGAGGCCAAATACACTGTCAGGATTGGAAGTTTGGTCGATGATCTGCTTGTAAAGTCAACAATCTGTCGAGAAAAACATACTTTAACAAGATCAAGGGTTTTAGTGCCCCATCTGTACTCACTTACCTCAGATAGATGTAATATGACACTCCATATCTCAGAAGCCCAAGTATATGACCTATGAACGGGACCGAAGCATTAACCAGAGGAGGCTCTTTTGGTCCCGGTCTAAGGGCGAAGTATTCAACCAAGCGTAAGAGAAGAAATGCTGCTGTAGGTAGAAAAGCTAGAGCAACTAACAACCGGCTCAGCTCAGTAACGTCTATCATCATGATGGATACGTCTTCAGCCTGGTAAAGCAACGAGTATGGCGTAAGATTGAAGAGTAAGGAGCTATAACACTGAGATCGCAGACCTTCCGCGGTACAGTCATGATTCTATTTACATCTTCCCTTCGGACTCGGTTCGATAATGTGGAACTCGTAGGCTTCTAGCTATCCATATATTGCTCTCAACATCTATGCATAAGTCGAAATGACTAGTGTAGCCGTCTGTGTGTGGTCAAGGATTATAATGCCCGTATCCTTGCCAGGGGTCGGTCCCTCATCCTAGCTACCGAGAGCAGGTACAAGTCCGCCACCGGAATGCCGTGTCAGCTCCAAAGAAGCGGTCTTATGAGCACACAATGCTGCAAACTTCTATTTATTGCCTCCATGAGTCTCTTTTGAAAAGTATGCCCGATGTTACAAGAAGCATCTCTCATTGCCTGCCAGTAACATTTCCACGCCAGTGCTTCCGATCCTTGTCATACGCCAAGATATATGCACTCTTCTTTTCGCAACAATGCTCATCAAATCTTACCCGGGTGGTGCGGCAGTCAATGGGTCGTTATTTGTTACGTTCTTGATTACATTTCTGCTCATCACTTTCTCCGTTCCTGCGTCAAAGTCCTTCATCCGGCTGACCGGAGTCTTGGCTCTTGCGAGCTTGACTTACGCGCTCCAGCTCGCGTCTAGTGAGTGGATCGCCAATCCTCACTGGCGTTCCGCGATCGTTCCACTTTTATGGATTCAGTTCATGAGTGCTTCTGAGCTTGTCCTAGTCAGAAGGTGGGATGGCAGCTGGGAACCGGATGCCCGCACCAAGAGCACAGCTGGGTTCGCCCCATCTTCCGCCTCTTCCGCTGCCCGAACGTACGAATCTCTGATGCTGCTTTGGAAGCTCAGACGAATCGGCACGAGGTGGCAGGTCAGAAATGTTCCTGGATTACAACAACGGTCTCCACACCCCCCAGAGAGCCGGGTCGCATTCATCTTGAAACGATCTCTCAAGATCCTGGTTGCCTACCAGGTGCTTAGCCTCATGACGCAGGCCCCGCCTCCGGACCCGAATTTTGTCGGTCGAGACAAACAAGCGCTGGCGTTTCAGGGTCTCGTCAGGCTGTCGCAAGCGGACATCACCTTCCGCATCATTGGGACCCTGTCGTTCTGGGCCTGCACGGCTCTCATAAACCTACTCATGTTCGAAATTGCTTGCCTCGGATTCGTTGTCGTTTTTCTATGCAAGGTCGAGGACTGTCCTCCACTCTATGGGGATTTCTCATCTGCCTCAACCATTAGGGGTTTCTGGGGGTAAGTCGAACGCTACAATCTCGTTCCAGTCTATTTGCTGACAGTCTTCCACCCAGAACCGCATGGCATCAATGTCTGCGTAGTGGGCTCACAGGCCATGCCGATGTCATTGAACACCATATTTTCCCATTTCGGCAAAGATTGGTTTCTAGATACCTTCGTATCTTTATCTCTTTTTTCATTTCTGGTCTGATTCATCATACTTCTGACATGGCAATGGGAATGACAGCAGAGAACGCCGGTGCTTTTACCTTCTTCTTGTTGCAGCCGATTGGAATCATCGCTGAAGATGCTATCCAGGCTATCTCAAAACAAGTGCCATTGTGTCGTTCGGCGCCCGGAGTTCGGGTCTTTGTCGGATACCTATGGGTTCTTGTGTTCCTTGCCTGGTCGACCCCAACGTGGTTCTATCCCCAGCAAAGGCTCGGATTGGATGCATCCGGACTTCTGCCATTTCATCCGAATTTGTTGAAGCAGTGGAATCTCCACTCCAATTTTCACTAGAATCAGTCTCTAAGTACCTTGTTATCGAAGAAACTTGATTGCCAGGCGGATAGAGTTTGGATATCTACGAGACTGGACGACTTCCTTCCATAGAACAGGGATAAACCCGGCCTTTCTCGGAGCGACTGTCACAAGCGCTAGCACGAGATCTAATTTACATTTCCTACCTATACTGACCTTTCCCGTTATGTATTGGGACTGTAGTAATACAGGCCAGCTTTGAACACCTCTTATACCTATTGCTACGTGCCATGATAGCTCGTGACAACTTCGGTCTCGGACCGGTGTGGCGGAAGGACCATAAGAATCATCATGCACAGCACGGTCCTCCCGTATTTTCCAGCCTGGCCTGTATTCCGGACAGTATTTACGCGTACGGATTGTAAGTCGACCCACCCCCTTTTAGCCACCCCCCCCTTTTAGCCACCCTATCAAACATAGTATTAAAACATCGCTACTAACTATACTTAATTAATTAACTATCTTCTACTACTATAATAATATAGTTATTATTCTCCTTAAATAATTCGACCCCTATAAATTAACTAGGACTAACTAAATAGTTATTAAAGTCTTTTTAAACTCTTTATATATCCTAAATATTTATAAACTTAATATTTAGGTTTATTAATATACTCTTTTTTTTTATAACTTTAATTAGTTAACTTTAGCTTCTAAAACTCGAATATAGTACTAAGATATTACTAAATAGTAGGCTTATTTACTAAATACTTTTTTTATTTTTTTAAATAGTAGTTATTAAGTATTATAATTTAAATTAAGCTTTATAAATAATTTTAATTAATTATAAAGCTCGCTAGCTTTTTTAGGAGTTAACTAGTTAATAATAGACGCTATTAATACTTAGTTAATAACTTTTTTAATATTATTAGTTATTTACTTAGTATTTATAGTTTTTTTAGTTAGTATAACTAGGTTAGGTAGGACTATTAAATTAGTAAGTAGTCTAGCTATATTAGGAAGATATAGTCTAGTTACTTTTTACTTACTTCGTATATTTAATAATATTAAACTAACTAAACGAGCTTTTTAATAATAGTTTAAGAAGTACCGCTTTTTAATAATAATAAAATTATTTATTATATCCTCCTTACTAAGCTCCTTCTTATACTTAGACTTAATAAGTCTAAAAATAGCTATATTTAATAACTAGAAAATATAGGAAGTATATAGTAATAAGAATAATAAATAAACGTTATTTTTATAATATTCCTATATAAATTCTATTATTATATAACTCTTATAGCTATTTAGAACTAATAATTAAAGCTTATTAAGTATACTAAGCCCTCTAAGGGGGGGGGTTTTAGTCTATAATAAGAATACTATTTTTAACTATTTAAGAGTAATCTTATTAATTATCTAACTATTATCTATTACTATAAACTCCTAATTAGTATAAGAGTTAAGTTTAAAGAGAAATTACTATTATTATACCGACTTTTTTTTATATATAATTAGTAATTTAATAGCTCGATTATTAATAAAGATATACTTAGTTATAAATACCTAAATATACGAACTAAGCTCTTTTTTTTATATTATTATAATCTCTATTATATTTAAAACTAAGTTATTAAATCCTTTACTTTTTAAGATATTAGTTTTATTTATATTATACTTATTAACCTATTTAATATTATTAATTTTTAATATATTAAGTAATCTAAACTATAACTTAATTATATTAATAGTAGCTCTATTTAGATATTTTAAATCGATAGTATAACTTTTCTAAACCTTAATTAATAAGTTCTTTTTTAAAAAAGCGTTTTTTTTTTTTTTTTAAAAGGATTTATATCTCCCTAAAATTTTAGAACTTACTTAGCGAATTTTCTAAGTTATTTATAAATTAATATAATACTTAAATTATACTAAATATAAACTTATTAAGCTAGCTAGTCTTTTTATTATAAAAGAAGCTTTTAGAAGTTTATAAATACTATTACCCTTATTTAATAACCTCTTTTATAATTATAAAAAGTTAACTTTAAAACTCCGAACTTAATCGAAGCCTAATTAACTAAAAAACCTCTTTTAATAGCTTTAAGAGCCTAAATAATTTTATTTTTAGTATATAAAACTATTATATATTAATAAATAAGTATATAAAAAAGAATTATATTTAGACGATCTTTTTAATTATTATAGTAGTTTAAAAATTATAAGTAGGGTTTTAATGCGGTGGCTAGGATAGAGAAATAGGGTAGCTAAAAGGGGGGGGGTGGCTAAAAGGGGGTGGGTCGACTTAGTGTATATGTTATTTATTACTAAGATTGCTATGTATTTTCGCTACCAGCCATATTTTGGGTCGTCTCGAAACCGATCATTGTAGGGAGAGGGTCCGAGGATCAACAGGGATATGTTCAGCCTCCCTTAAGCAAGCTAAAATTTATCTCGTTCGCTAGAAATCACACTTGTTGCGATTCCCTTCGATGCAGTCTATCTGACCGTGGTCTATGATTTTCCGTGGAATCAATCGTACTCGTCAACTCCATCCCGCAAAGTTCTCAACATGACCAAACACCTCTATCATGCGGCTTCTATCGTGCTGCAGTCGCCAATCCCGGCGTTGATACTTCTCACCTCTACGCTTCTCTATTACATCTACTTGAAAGGCTTCCCAAGACCTCTCACTGGGATTCCATACAACGAGAGCGCTCTGAAAAGCTTCTTGGGTGACCTCCCTGCTTTCCAGCATGCAAGAAACCACGGGAAAGGCTTTACTGTGTGGATGCGCGACCTGGCTCAGAAACATAGGTCACCAATAGTTCAGGTCTTTCTGGGCCCATTTACACAGACATGTGTAGTTCTGTTTGACTATCGTGAAAGTTACGACATTGTAGCACGGCGAACAAAGGAGTTCGACCGTTGCCGAAGGGATGCAGAAACTATGTCGACCATTTTACCTGAGCATCATCTTTCGATGGTGTCAACTGACGCCAGGTTCAAAGGCAACAAGGACTTGGTGAAGGATTTGATGGCCCCAGGATTCTTAAACGAGGTTAGTCTTTCGGTCGACTTCAGTCAAGAAAGCTTTTCTCAGCTAAATTTGGCTACTTAGGTTTCTGCGCCCGAGATTTATAGCAAAGCGCTATCTCTCATAGAGCTGTGGAGTGTGAAGAGCAAATGGGCCGCAGGCCGTCCGTTCGAAGCCCATCGCGATCTCCAGAACGTTGCTTTAGACATCATCATGTCTGCTGCATTTGGCGAGACAAGCAATGGCGGTGTTCTCCGGCAGCACATACTCCAGGAAACGGGCTATAGGCCCTTCCTAGTGCCAACAGATCTGAAAGAGCCCGCATGCTTCAAGAGTCTTGGACTTCCTACTGAGTACCAGGCTACTGTTGATATCACCCACTTCATGGGCAGGGTTGTCACGTCGCCCTTCCCAAAACAGTTTGCATGGCTGTTGAAGACTTTTACGAGTGTGAGCAGTGTATTTGTGAAGAAGGACTACTTCATCAGGAGCCAGATTCAAAAGGCAGTAGCATCGCTGAGCGACAAATGGCTCCAAGGAGAGAAGGCAGCCAAATCAGCTTTAGACTTCATCGTCCTGCGAGAAGTGACAGCAGCCAAGAAGTCTGGACGCAAACCCTCATTCACTTCAAAGAGATTGGAAGACGAGGTAAACTTTCTGATGCCCCCTTAGACGAGAAAACAATGCTGACTTCACAACAGTTGCTTGGATACATCGTCGCGGGTCATGAAACGTCTGCGTCCATCTTATCTTGGGCTGTGAAGTTTCTAGCCGACAATCAGAAACAACAGCATACATTGCGCAAACACCTCCAGGCAGTTTATCCAGCTGCTGTCAAAGAGAAGAGACAGCCAAGTGTAACCGAACTCACAAAGGTTGCAGCTCCGTATCTTGATGCCTTCCTGGAAGAGATTTTACGACTCTCACGGACAGCTTCAATTCTTACACGCGAGGCTGTTACTGATACTATCGTGATGGGGAAGTTCGTGCCGAAAGGTACCACAATCTTCATCTTCACACAAGGGGCGAGCTACGTTCAGCCTTCTCTGAGCGTTGACGAACAGGTCAGAAGTAGAACTTCGCAAGAAGCCAAGCGAGTCCCAGACTGGCTTTCCGACGATGTAGGAAAGTTCTGTCCTGGGCGCTGGCTTGTACCAAAGACGGGAGCGAGCGGGTTCAGCGAAGAACGCGTCGGAAAAGAAGATAGCCGGACTTTATCTGACTTTGATTTTGATCCCCAAGCCGGGCCAATCTTGACATTTGGCGGTGGACCAAGAGGATGTTTTGGTAGACGTCTCGCCTATCTTGAGTTGCGCATGGTTCTTGCGTTGCTTGTGTGGAATTTTGCTTTCAAGCCATGCGCCGACAATCTTAGCACCTACGAGCTCAGGGAGAGCATAACTGTAGAACCCAAGGATTGCTACGTCAACCTTCAGACTTCAGATAACATGTAGATAAGAGTATCACAACTTCCAGGTTCAGTCGTTCACTTCGAATATAGTCACTGGTTTCTGACATTTCTATTCAACTACAATGTTGCTGAAACCTAACTCCGCCAAAAGTCATCGCGCCAGCTCAATAGTACGCCCGTCTGGCCACTGCCAATCGTGAATTTTGTGAGCCACGGATGTTCACTTGAAGCCAAGGGTACATCAATTTGCATGAGAAGTCTAATTCCTATGCTATTATTATCATCATGTTCTGGGCTGAAAGCGATCCCACATTGCTACGGGAACTCTAGGCTGAGTCGGCCGAGTTGCTGTCGCCGAGTCACATAGTCGCTTTCGGTTTCAATCCTGACCGGCGTGAGATAACGTTTTGTGAGTACCGCGCGCGGACCGCAAACCTTATTTCCTGCAAGATCTAGAACCTGCATGCCTTTGCCGATCTCCGCACGAATGAATCCGAGACAGACAGAGGAAGAAACGGGGACATGACCAGTTCTCCGCGTGCCGTGTATGGGATGACCCGATTCATGTGCTCCGAGGACTAGGGAGCGACGCTATGCCAAACACCTGATCCCACTTTTGCACACTACCCTGGGCCCATGCTCCATCAGTCTTGACCAGCCTCCTGCTGAGCCTCCGAGCGCGCCAAGCTAGGTTATTAGCATCCACAACGTTCCAGTCTCAGAGCGAGGCGGGCTGTTGGCAAGATTCTCCGATCGAGACGGCCCAATTTGGTAGCATTCAATGCCGAGGCGCCATGATAATTGATGACTACGTGACTCGAGGGCAAGTGTTGATAACATATATACATTTCAACACGAAAGATTATTAGACTTCTCCGAGCATTCAGCATCTGTACCATCACGAAGTTCAGGAAGTCGCTCCTTTCGCATTCTTACACATCTGTTCGCGTTTTTTTTCTTTTTCGTTTCTTTCGACGTCGCCGACAATCAAGATGGAGTCTCTGGATGTTCCCTTGGCGCCTGAGTCTACTTTCGTGAGGATGAGAAAAGGTTACTCCCGATCTCGGCTTCAGCTTGAGCCCGCACAACGGCCAACATGGGGTAGATCAAGTCGCGGATCCTGGATGCGCTCAGTCGGCTCACTGCTTCTTGTGATGCTTGCGCCGACATTGGTCATCTCCACGACCGTGGCTATTTTTGCATTCCAAGGCTCTCTGTCCGACTTCTTGAAGGCTACTTTGCAAGACGGATTGGTTTCTGTCGTATGGTCAAATTGGCCATGCTTCAATCTCAAGTCCACTGGAGTGTTTGCACTCTGGGTCTTCTTTCAAGGCATCCTGTTTCGATACTTGCCAGGCCCAATACACGACGGCCAGAGAAGCCCTGCCGGCCATCTATTGACCTATCGTACCAATGGGCTCAATGCCTGGTTCGTTACCCATGCATCTGCCGCTGCGCTTTGCTATTTCGGCCTCTTGGATCCTGCCTTCATCCCGAAGAACTGGGGTGGCCTGGTCCTCACAATGAATGCTGCTGGTCTCTTGCTTTCTGTCTTGGCCTTTATCAAAGCGCACTTCAGGCCAACCCATGCGGATGACCGAAAGTTCAGTGGTAAGCCAACGGTCACCATGTTTTCCGTGGTCACACAACGACTAACATATAATAGGATCCATATTTTATGACTTTTACATGGGGATTGAGCATAACCCAAGACTTTGGGGCGACTTTGACCTGAAACTCTTCACCAATGGCAGACCGGGCATAATTGCATGGACACTCATGTAAGTTTCTACGAAGAATGGCGCAGCTTCACACAAGCTGACTCGAATCTAGCGATTTGTCCAATATCGCATATCAGTACGAGATCCACGGACAAATCGATCCCAACATTGTTCTTGTCACCATTCTGCACGCAGTATACGTCCTTGACTTCTTCGTTAATGAGTCCTGGTACTTGCGCACCATTGACATTGCTCACGACCACTTCGGCTTCTACCTAGCTTGGGGGTCCTTTGTCTGGCTCCCTAGCATGTATACCATTCAAACCCAATTTCTTGGGCTCTACCCAACAGGAACCTCAACTTTTCACCAGGTCGCCATCTTCTCTGTCGGAGTTGCCGGGTACATCATCTTCCGGGCCGTCAACAGCCAAAAGGACAGGGTTCGTCGTTCCAACGGTGATTGCTACATTTGGGGGAAACCGGCAAAGGTCTTGGTAGCATCTTACAAGACTTCGGACGGCCAGAGTCATCAGAGCCTTCTTATTTGCAGTGGTTGGTGGGGCTGGTCGCGTCATGCCAACTACTTTGGAGACTTGCTCCTCAGTACCGCGATGTGCGCTTTAGTGGGATCTTCGAACTGCTTGGTATGGTTTTATGCGATGTTCATGACAATCTTGCTCATACATCGATGCATTCGGGATGAGGCAAGATGCTCGGCCAAGTACGGGCCGGTATGGGAGGACTACTGCAGAACTGTTCCGTGGCGAATCGTACCTGGAATTTGGTGACACTAAACCTCTGTACCTCTAAACACGTAGAACATGTTATGCCTTTACGAGCTGGGCAGGGACAATTTGACTTCCAATACTTCTCTGACAGACTTTGCCGTATGATATTCGAATGAACTTGCAGTCCTAGAGCTGCAATCAGTTGAAGTTCGGTGCCTACTGGCTATCTATGTTTTGAAGCTGAATCATCTCCATACATTGGTTCAACGCTTGTAATTCTAAACTCTCTTCAGTCCATCCCCTCCAGCTCTGTCTCCGTCCACTCCCATAGCCTTTGTGCCAGCTTTTGGGTTGTCAGGTTTTCCTGTCCCACGGCCGGTTTTCCCACGGGAAGATAATATACCCCGCTCTTGACATTTGGGTGAACTGATGCCCACAACTGATTTTGAACTCCATTCTCCACGCTGCTTGATGCCATTCTCATAAGGGGATACAACGCTTCAAGTATGTAGCTTGAGGATTTCCAAGACTGTGCCCAGTTCGTATCTACAAAGCCTGGATCAACGACACAAACCTTGATCTTGGTTTGTCTCTTCGCCAATTCCCGGGCATACAAAATGACTGCGAGTTTGCTCTGACCGTATCTTGCCCATGCACCAACTTCACCAAAGTCTGTTTTGAGAGCATCAAAGACAATGCCCTGCGTCGGAGCCATCGAGGAAGCTTGAGAGCCCAAAAAGATGATTCGGGCGTCTGCTTCGGGTATTTCAGCAGTATCGAGAAGGGTTGGACTCAGAAGCTTCGCAAGCAGAACAGATCCGATAAAGTTAGTGCCGAACTGCATTTCGTAGCCGTCCTCAGTCAGTCCGGGTGGTGCTGCGACGATTCCAGCGTTCAGCATGAGAATGTCTAGTCGGCTTGATTTCAGGCGAATTATGCGAGCCGCCTTTCGAATCGATGCAACTGAAGTGAGTTCAAGATAAATGAACTCGATGGATGCATTTGGAGCCTCGTCTTGAATTTCCTTGATGGTCCTCTCTGCAGCGGCGGCGTTTCGTGCAGCAAGCCATATCTTCTCGGGATCATAACGCGCGTATTCCAGTACTGCCTGTCGCCCCAGGCCACTTGTTCCTCCAGTAACCAGAATGACTTTGCCCTTAATCGAAGGCAAAAGCTCGGAGCGGTTGAAGGCAGGTTTCGCCTTGGGCCATAGAAGGGAACTCATGATAACTAAAGATATCAAAGCTCGGGTGACGGAGTAAGGCGGTTGGCGAAAGAGTAAGATACGTAATCAAACAGAGTGAATTAGGCACGAGGACAAATGCTTCTAAATATACTACTTTTCAAAAGGATCTAGAACGTAGCAGTAACCTTTGGGTTCATCTACCGCTGAATCGTACAGCTTCCCTTCGGATCGGCTCGGGCTTCCCAATACGTTGCCACAAATAGGTTCAGTGATTGACAAGGATGATACATGAGGTGAATTCGAGGCTAAGTAACAAGACTAGCTAGGCGTTCTTTACTTTTGGCCAAGGTCAGTGTCATGGAACATGCAAGCTTGGAGGCTGCATGGGCTCTCTGGCCAATGATCCTTGCAGCCGCCTGCAGAGGCTTAATCCGAGGCATGGATGAGCAGTCTATCTTGCTCCACAGATGGCCTGGCGGAGTTTGACACTTGGAGCCTGGCAATCGAAAGCTTGAAGACAAACTTCAGATTTCTCGATTACGGGTACACGTACTATTTACGGTTACTTCATCGCATTTCCCGCCTTGATCCATAGAGAGGATATGATACACATTCCAACAATCCATACGAGACTTCTCAGCGGCGCCCATTTGCGATTGTCCTGTAATTTGACGTAGATGAGAGTGTATGCCGCTCTGGAAAAGAGATATGTCAGAGACAGTACATCCAGCGTTGGCTTGCCAACCCCCGCCGAGTTCGCAGCTACAACACCTGCAGCGTACAGACCCAGGGTCTCAGTCGCATTGTCGTGGGCAGCTTTGGCACGTTGAATTCTCTGGCGAATCTTGAAGTATCTTTGTCAGCTATGTGATGAAGGTTCTAAGCACTACTTACCCTTTTGTCGAGACTCTCGTCGCCTGACACAGCGTCTAGGAGCCTACGAGGCTCGGCCACGTCATAATTGTCACCCGCAATTGTATTGGCGTAGACATGTGGGATGAAAGCAAGCATGTAAGCCAAGGGAACCTATGAGTAGAGTAAGTGGCTTTTATCTTGCTAGCGGTTTCCGAACAGAAATGCTAACCGAATAGTATGAGAGGTTCGACTCAGCAAGCCCAACAAGAGACGTCATGTTGACAACGTGAATGCGGAAATGGATTGAAAGGGCTGTCTGTAGTGTAGGTGGTTGACGAGAGGAGAACAAAGTGCCCAAATGGTCACGGAGTATCATGCAATAAATTCACGATTCCATCGCACACTCGTCATTTGGTGATTGAGTCCATGTCAGCCGGCGAGTCAAACCAACGAACCCCACGGTCCACCAGGTTAGATGGAGCCGGACTTCGTCGCTGTGCCCGGAGCCGAGATTGGGGCCTGTGGATATCGTCTGAGGTTTGTAACTCTATCTGACATTGGACGTGCGTGAACAAGGCGATACCGAGACCGAGGTTAGGCCAAGATATACTCAAATGAAGAACAGAAGTAAGTACTATCACGGGCGTTATTCGTCACCACTCTTTGGGCGAATAGGCGAGTTTGAGAGCACGAATTTCGCCGAAAACTTCCGACTGATATATCATACAGCTCATATATATATTCGTTGCTCGACACTAGATTATCGATAGATCCAGCAGGCTATCGCCTTTGTCACCTTTTGCCTCTTCAATAAGAGACTTCCTTTTTCCTTCTTTTGGCCGAGCCTCACAACTGCAAAATCTTGTCTCTAGGTTCTTGATCACATTTTTCACTACCGATTAAGACATGGATCAGGACTTTAGCCAAAAGCAAGGGCTCGTCAAGAGCCCGAAACGAGTGGGACATGTCGTCTTTAAGACCAACCAGTTTCGTGTAATGGTAGACTTCTACGTCAGTTTCTTGGGCTGCATCGTGGCTTTCGAAAATGAGGCTCTGTCCATTCTACGCTTCGATGACGAAGACGATCACCATCGCGTTGCGATTGTTGAGCTTCCCGGCTTGAAGACTGCCGAACCGCAAGCAACAGGCTTGGAACATGTCGCCTTCTGTTACTCGACACTGGCTGATCTTCTGTCTACCTACCAGACGCACAAGGCCAATGGCATTACTCCTTATTGGTGTGTCAACCATGGCCCGACCACAAGTCTTTATTACAAAGACCCAGACGGCAACGGCGTCGAACTCCTTGTAGACAACTTTGACACAATTCAAGAAGCAAACGATTTTATGGCATCGTCTCTCTTCGTAGAGAACCCCATTGGCACCGAGTTTGATCCGGATGATGTTGTCAGGAGATTGGAACAAGGAGAGAGTGAGAGTGCACTGAAGCGAAGGGTCGAGATAGGACCACGGAAAGCGTTTGGATGCTGAAGTGTATGAAAGCCGGAGGCATGTAGGCGGACGAGGGTCGTGGGATCACCCAGAGATTCGATTGGAAGCACATTAATATTTCGACGCATGCAACGAATTCAATCTGTCATGGATAACGAGCTAGCTCTTCTATACATTACCCGACGTAATAATTGCGGCCGTTGTGGGCTCGTTTGCTGTACCTACTCACTTCAAAGTTAATTATTGCCTAGATAATAGGTACGTATGAGATTTATGTTGGGATAGGAATGGTGACATGGCAATGGTGACATGGCTACCTTGCACCAAAGGAGAAATAGACATCTCGAGTAAACTGAGACGCCAGACGGTGCCAGGTGTCAATATGTGCGGCACCACCAACCCCACAAACGGCGTCCCCTGTCGCCGAATGCCGAACTTTTCACTCCACCGCAGCAACCCGCCGCCAAAAAATTTCCAGGCGCTTCCTCCAAAGGCCCGTCTGAACATCTGTTTTTTTTTTTTTTTTCCGCGCCCTTCTGAGATCCTCCGCGGTATAGTGACAGAGCTTGACGCAAACGAAACGACGACAATGGCGACTCCCACGAAGCCTCCCGCAAAGGGATCAGGGAAGAAGCAGCAGCCCAAGGTCCTCAAGAGAGATTCGCGCCTCGAAAAGAGAAAGCAACAGCAGCAAACAATCGAGCAGCTCGAGAGGGCCGTAGCCGACTTTGTAAGTATTCTTTGCGGGAGCGCCCGCCACACCCAAACCCAAGTCCACGGCGACATTGCGAATTTTTGGACCAAGGCTGACCCAGGACCCTGTGTCTACACGACCAATAGGACCCCAAGAGCGAATACAACAGCTTCTCCGAACTTCCCCTCTGCGAAACGACCCGAAAAGGCCTCGAGAAATCGCACTTCGAGACCCTCACCGATATCCAGTCCCGCGCCGTGCCCCTCGCCCTCAAAGGAAGCGACATCCTCGGCGCCGCCAAGACGGGCAGTGGCAAGACCCTCGCCTTCATTATACCCGTCCTCGAGAAGCTCTACCGTGCGCAATGGACAGAGTTCGACGGCCTCGGCGCCCTCATCATCTCCCCGACCCGCGAGCTCGCCGCCCAGATCTTTGAGGTCCTCCGCAAGGTCGGCCGCTACCACAACTTTTCCGCCGGTCTTGTCATTGGAGGCAAGAGTTTGAAGGAGGAGGCTGAGCGTCTGTCAAAAATGAACATCCTCGTCTGCACGCCCGGTCGCATGTTGCAGCACCTCGACCAGACGGCCGGTTTCGACGTCGATAACCTCCAGATCCTCGTGCTCGACGAGGCGGATCGCATCATGGACATGGGCTTCCAACACGCCGTCGACGCCTTGGTGGACCACCTCCCCTCTACGAGACAGACCCTGCTCTTCAGCGCGACGCAGAGCAAAAAGATCTCCGACCTCGCGCGCCTGAGTCTCAAGGACCCCGAATACGTCTCCGTTCACGAAGAATCCACGCCCAAGAACCTGCAGCAGCACTACATCGTCACTCCCCTCCACGAGAAGCTCGACACCCTCTTCGGCTTCATCAAGGCCAACCTCAAGAGCAAAATCATCGTCTTCTTCTCCTCAGGTAAACAGGTCCGCTTCGCCTACGAAGGCATGCGACACCTCCAGCCCGGTGTGCCCCTCCTCCACCTCCTCGGCAAGCAAAAGCAGCTCCAGCGCATGGAAATCACAAAGCGCTTCGCCGACGCAAACGCATCCGTCCTCTTCGCCACCGACGTCGTCGCCCGCGGCGTAGACTTCCCAGCCGTCGACTGGGTCGTCCAGGTCGACTGCCCCGAAGACGTCGACACATACATCCACCGCGTCGGTCGTACCGCCCGCTACGAGCGCGACGGCAAAGCCGTCCTCTTCCTCGAGCCCAGCGAGGAGGCCGGCATGCTCAAGCGCCTTGAGCTCAAGAAGGTACCCATCAACAAAATCACCGTCAAGGAGAGCAAGAAGAAGAGCATCAAGGACCAGCTCCAGAGCATGTGCTTCTCCAACCCGGACCTCAAGTACCTCGGCCAAAAGGCCTTCATCAGCTACGTCCGCTCCATCTACCTGCAAAAGGACAAGGAGGTCTTCAAGTTCAACAAACTCGACCTCGACGCCTACGCCGCGAGTCTCGGCCTCCCCGGTGCGCCGCAGATCAAGATGCGCAAGGGTGAGGACATCAAAAAGGTCAAGAACGCGCCCCGCAAAGGCATGTCCTCAGACGAAGACGAGGAGGACTCGGACGACGCGGCGGCGGCGGGACCCAAGAAGCCCAAGAAGCCCGAGGTCAGGACAAAGTACGACCGCATGTTCGAGCGCACGAACCAGGACGTCCTCTCGGGCCACTACACCAAGCTCGTAGCCAACGGCGACGAAGTCACCGGCGACACAACCGACCCCACCGCAGCAGCACCCGCAGGCGCAGACGGCGAAGAAGAAGAAGACTTCCTCTCCGTAAAACGCGTCCTCAACGACTCCGAGCTCGACGCCGAATCCAACCTCGCACCCGGCGCCAAACCAAAGGTGATATCCTACGGCGGCCAAGACTTCATCGTCGACTCCAAGCGCCGCGAAAAGGCCCTCCAGTCCAAGAAGAAGATGCTCAAGTTCAAAGGCCGCGGCGAGAAGCTCGTCTTTGACGAGGACGGCAACGCGCACCAAATCTACGAGCTGCAAAACGAAGACGACTTCGAAAAGGAGGGGCCCGCGGA